TCCATCCGGATTCGGTAAAGACACCATACCGCACATGACGGGGTCGGGTATGGGACCGGCGGCGGTGACGGTTATGTTCGAGTATCGGTTAGTTTGGCGCACGAACACACAGGTCCCGACCTCTACTGTACACTCATCCAACAACCAGCGTGCTGTCCTGTGCCGGTGGCCGTTCGAAGTACGGCGACGGCACCTGCATGGCAAGGTGTGTGTTGGAGGGCACCTGGTTTGCGGGGCATTTCGGTCTCATGGAAGTCACGAGGTACGACGGCTAATCTATTACAAAAGTACTAGGACTTTGTGTAGGACCTGAGTAAAAGGAAATGTTCTTTAACGAAGTTCCACTCGAGGTCGTCAGTAGCTTGTACAACTACCGAGAATGGCACATACACAGAACACCGACACTCTTCGCGACCCGTCCGCCAGGTGACACAACCGGAGACATCAACCCCAGGGCGCACCGGACACCCCAGACGACAGACCATAACCGGGAACAGACAAGAACCACACAGGTCGTCGACTGTCCCTCGTGAGGCCTCCAAGAAGGACGGCGACCACACGCCCGTACGACGACCTCCGGTCCTCCCCCAGTCGCCAGCTCCCGGTGCTTCGGACACGCAGAGAGACTGGGGAGGTTGGACCTCGTCGCTCGCTGGTGGAGGTTGTCCGTCGCGCAAAGTGACGTAGGCCGGGAGAGGTAGTGGAGGCTCAGACTCTCGGTAAGAACGACGCGTCCTTTCAGCCCCACCCGACACCCTCCGCCGCCCCCACCCCGAGGGAGTCTTCAGCCTCGTCACCGCCGACGGTCCGCCCGAGGACGACCCCAACCCGAACTTGTAGTAGGTCATCCCCCCCTCCCTGCCGACGTCGCCCTGCCCGCGTCGCGCTCTGCCTCTGCAGACGACCGACTACTACGGCGAGACGTCGGGCCGTCTTGGTCAAAGAGTCTGACTGGGGTATGACTGTCTGTCCGTGTCACTCAAGCTCGTCGAAGCGCGTCGTCAGAATTGAGTGAAACAACAGACGAGTCAATACCCAAGTCGAGACCTCTTGACCCAAGAAGGCCGACGGTCTGCGCCGAAGTAGTCGGTCGTCTCAGGACGGCGAGCGAGGGGCAGGGCGACGTCGCAGGCGGAGGGGGCATGACACTACCTACAAGTCGTCGGGGGTCCGGTCTCGGCGGACCGGTCGGCGGTGCGAGGCTGAAGACCCGTTTCGGGTGGGGGTCGGCGCGAGGTGTCGGAGTGGGGCTGAAGGACGCGTCGTTCCTACTCGGCAGAGTCTGAGCGACTTCCATACTACCTCCTCCCGCCTACGTCCTTCGTGACGAGACACCTCCCACAGGACGACGGAGGTCCACCCTCCCAGTCTCCTCCGTCGTGTCCGGAAGCAGGGCTGGGACGACTTGGGGGGGAGGGACGGAGTCGTCGACGGCGTGGTCCGCGTTCCTCGTCTTGGAGCCGTCCACGAGGGCGCACGATCAACGACTGTGTGGGTTTGACTCGGTGCTTCGGTTGTGTCTGTCGCTGGGGTGTCGGTGGCCTGCGGGTGATGGTCTCGGTTGTGCTCACTGCGCCGAAGGGTCGAAGATGCGCGTGTTCTGGTGGTATGGTGACAAATGATGTTAAAGTAAGCAAATTCAATTAAATAATAAGCAAAATGCTAAATGTTGAGAACAAGACTACAACACAAATGTGCCGTTTTATTTCATACAGTTCCATTCTGATTGAGACAGGGAAATCATCTAAACCTCACGCGTGGCGTTTCACTGTCAAGGGGGGCGATATAACGTGTACGTAATTACATTGCAAATACTGACTTGAGCCCCACCACTGTATGGGTTAGCCCTACCATAGATTACCCAACAAAAATACTCTGGCGCCGCCACTGCGTACTGGTATATGATTGGATTAGCTGGCGCTTCCGTCTACGCTTGAAAAGTTGAACTTTTCTCAACTTTCGAAGTGAGCAACGGAGGCAAAGCGACGCGACGGAACCACAATGCAGTTAGGCAAATCATGACTTCACCCCATTCAAAGTGAATGGGAAGAGTCTCCGTTGAAGCACGCAACGCTGCCGTGTGGACGGCCGTAAGTCCAAGACCGCCAAAATATAGAGTAGACATTTGCTTCCAGGTACCAGTTTCTTCCTGGGCCCTGCCGAGGTGCCATTGAGGTTGGATAAATCATAATAGGTTGGATAAATGCTCAGACTAAATTTCAATATTTGAATCCATTTCTATTAAATCTGACATGTTGAGCATGTTAGAGAACCGCTCCTTCATCCAGCTGAGAAGAGGGGCAGTCCTGTTCTCTGTGTGTTCATCAGTGACACACATTACACATTGGTAATAATTAATAAGGAATTACTGCAGCTTTGCCACTGAGGGCCAGCACAACATCGTCTCAGTTCACATTATTGCGCTGCACAAGACAGAATAATATTCCTGTCCTATTACTGTATAAAACAACAAGTATGAGCTAAACACACCTGTGTTTTAATGAGAATGCTGTTGCAACAAAACTATTTTATGAGAGAGCTAATGCTAATGCTAATGTGCACTATGGTTAGTCTGCAGGAGCACACTATAAATACAGCTTTACATCAGCACACACCCCTCTCTGCATAACACAGCACAAGTAGTCTAACTATCTACATTCAAGTCCGTCTTTAAATGTACTTTATTCTTAGAGGAATGTCCACACTTGGAGGGGAAATCCATCCAATTCACATTTCCCAAATCTTTTTGGATATTTAATCTAAAAGTAGACTGTGTAAAGTCTGCTCCTAAATCCAGCCGGGTGTAAGAGGTTCATCAGGATTAGCATGAGGAGGTCCTCTAAAAATGTCTTTCCCAGCAAAGCTGCATCTCATCTGTCAGCCTAACACAGAATCACATTTAATGAGAGTGAGTGGAGCCGCTGCAAACTGGTGCTTTCTTGATAAGATGACTGTATATAATATAATGCTTTACTTCCTGGTATCAACAAGAACCCCACCCCCTGCTGCTGGGATGTTCAGGACACACACACACACACACACACACACACACACACACACACACACACAC